AATAGCTCCCAGCTTTCTTCTTCTGTCAAATAAGACAAGGAGTGGACAAACCCGTGTGGTTTTACATGCAACGCAACTTCATTGAGGCGACTTGTAAGCAGAATTCTACTTCCGGTGTTCTCACGGGGAAAAAACAAGTTCAATTCATCCCAAGTCTCGATGCTCCAGATATCATCAATCACAATCAAATATCTCTTACCCATTAGGTTCTTGTGCAACTTTTCACGAAGTTGAGAGTCAGTAGCTTCATCAAGGCCTTGTTGAACACCCATGGATCCCAGAATTTGAATTAATACATCCCGTTTTATATATGTTTGAGAAACAGTGGCCCATGCACGGATATGGAAATGATACTTAAAGAAACGATCATTGAACAGTTTGGTAGCCAAAGTAGTCTTACCTAGTCCGCCCATACCAACAATCGAGACGATACTAAGTTGCTTTGTATCTTCAGCAAGTTTGTCCCGTATGATCTCAGCATCACGCTCAAGCCCCACAACAATTTCTTCCAGTGGTTTCCTTGTTCCTAAACAACTTCCTCTGTTGGTGGAACTTCTATCATTGATTCTTGGAGACGAACCCATCTTCATATTATCGATGTTGACAGTCATGAATTCCACCTTGATAGAATCGATGGACCTCATAACATTCTCTAGATCCAGGGTGGTTTTAAAGACATCAGGTCTAGGGGAAAGTCCACTGTTTCTAAAGTCCACAGATACAGCAGATAGAAATAGATCTATTCTATCTTGTGCTTCTTCTGCTACATCTTTGAGTCTTTTCTTGAGATTTCTAACTTCTTTGAGCTCATGATGCTGGTAATGATGATGTTGATGGATATTGGAAAGGGTCTGAATGATGGAGGCAAGCTCTTGATGAAGCAGTTGGAATTGAGGCCTTTTAGATAAAACCATTGGATTGTTGTTGATGAGTGGATGATGGTTGCCATGGATGAGCTTCTTCAAGCTGTCCATCAACATCTGGAGACCTGTGAATGCCATCTTGTTTGTTTAGATCTTGAAGAACACTATTTAATTGTTGTTGGGCTGAGCCAGATAAGGTATTTGGTTAAGCTGACTTTGATTCAATAGCTGGAAGCACAGAGGATTAAAATATTTATTATGGTTTTATGTAGACCTTGGAAGCATGTTGACTTTATGATGGCTGGAAATGAAATTTACGTCTGAATGATTATTATATGCTTAAATTAGCTGCTGTTTTATCCCAGGTTCCATTTCACGTTAGAAAAAGCTTAACTGTACGCCCACATGAATTCCATGGTGTCTTGGATCATATCGTGGTATCGGATATTGTTATGGAAATGGACAACTTCTATGTGAGCAGGCCCGTTCATGACATTTTATAGGCCCTGAGCGAACGTAAAAACATGGTCCATTGCAAGAAATAAGGCTTTTAGCAACGGCTTTTGTTGTCGCTAAAAGTCCATTTACGATCAGAAAGAGTATAACAACATGTCGTTGCTATAACTTGTGGTGGAAACATGTCTCGCTAAAAGGCGCATCGTCAAAAGTTCACTTTTCTTGTAGTGACCCTCGGTAAGTACGAAAACAAATTCAATAAATGTTTTTCATTAGTACAAAATTGAGTACAAGGAATGCTAATAATTTACCGAGAAAAGAAATTTTATTTATCTTTATTATAGATATATAAAAGAGTATTTAAAATTTACGTACTTCTTATTAGGTAATTTGAAACCAAGAATACAAAAACTATGATTGATAAATTTTTATAAAAATAAGAATTTTTTTAGTTCATAACAAGAAATATGTGTTATTTTGATATAAAAAGAGAATTCGTGTAAATGAAGTAATCGTGATGGTCAATGAGAGATCAATAATAAATAAAATTATCAAGGTTTTCTAGACAAGTAGACAAATGAGAATCAATAAAAATATGGTTTTTTTTTTTTGAATTTGTTAAAACAAATTTTAACAAATTTACATTTTTAGAACTATTATATTTGGGTAATATGTAATATGGTTTTTATGTAGATTGTGGAAACATGTTGATTTTATGAGGGTTGGAAATGAAATTTACGTCTGAATGGTTATTGTGTTTGAGATTGTTTATTTGGAACGAGTTATACTTTTCTACAAAAGCACTTATCAACTTATTATAAGTTAGAAGAGTTTAACTTTTTCAAAAACTTCTTATTACCAGTTTGACACCTGTATAAGTTGTTTATCGAAACACTCAAAAGTGCTTATTACCAATGTCATGCCGAAATAAGTCAATAAGTTATTTTTATAAGCAATTCTAAACACCCCTTAAATGTTGTTTAATCCCCGTTTTCATGTTCTCTAGACTTGGTTCCCTCTATTTTTGGTCAAAATTCTCGATTGATTTGATCAAATTTGAAGTAGGATCGACTCCCGGAGATGGAGAATCGGTCTAGTGCTTTTCATTTGTCAGGGGCGGGCCCCAAGAATGGATTCTTCTTAATCTTAATTAAGGGGTCGTTTACTAAACACTTACTTTGGTAAGTGCTTAACGCATAAAATTCCTCATCGGATGAACATGAAAAGGACCAAAAATCTTATTTGGTAAGAGCGATGAGAAGGTTGAAGAGTCTTATCCGGTAAGTGAGGATGACGATTCTTACCCAGTAAATTGTTGCATTCGATATGTTTTGATGTACTAAAATCATACGCAACAAAATAAATTATAATATTGACTCATATTGGTAAGCGCTTACTGGGTAAGTATTTGGGTAAACGGCCCCTAAGTTGATTTGTTGCGGTCAGTCTCACTACCATTTGTTGGCTTCCTCCAATACCACAATTGAGAGTCCTGCTTTCATGGAGGTGCATATTCATAACCTCTCGCTCAAAATTAACCCGCCCCCGATGTCCCATGTTCCACATAGCTCACGCCCCGACACGAAGAAATATACACACTGGGGCCATGGGTCATGAAAGAGGTTGCCCCAAAAATAAGAAATTGTTCGTGGAATTTTTTCGAGATTTTTAAAATGTTAGGTGGTGGCGTTATTAGGGACTATAAAGGCTCCAGTTTAGTTTGGTTTAAAATGTTCGTGAACGTTCGTTCATTTATATACTAAATTTAATATATACTCTTTTGTTTATTTACTTTGAATTCAAATAATATTTATGTATGTTCGTTTAGCCCGTTTGTTTATGTTCGTTCGTTTACGTTTGTTTAGCATGTTAACGAACGGACATAAACGAACACGAACACACTTGATTTCTAAACGAACGTACACGAACACACCTGATTTCTAAACGAACGAACATGAACACAAAGATTTTCGTTTGTTTACCATTCGTGTTCGTTCATTTGTTTGGTTAAGTTAAACGAACGAACATGAACAACCTTCCGTTCGTGTTCGTTTACAGCCCTAGGTGTAGGTGACTTTAATATATAATTTGAGCGATAAGTGATAATTATGTATGAGACCTACGACTTCAATAAACATAAAAAGAAAACTTACAAACTAAAATCTTAGATAGGTAAATATTTACTCACATTCCCTCACACGAAAAGTCGAACATGAATTCATTGAAAATTAAAAAAAGTAGCGATTAAAGATTCAAGAGATTTAATCTCGATTTTACACTCTTAGTATCATTTTCTATAAGCTCTATTGGTATCAATGGTTCTTATTTCTTTTTAGTCTTATTACTTTATATGAATTTAATTTGTTAGAAAGTATTATTCAAAACACTAACACATACAAGGGTGTGTGTGCGTATGTGTGCTGCCTTAGGACACGTCTTGGAAAACGTCGTGGCCTCGTTGTAACTCGTAAGGCTTGAGGCTTGACCTCGTTGCCATGCAACGCCTCATGTCATTTAGAACCTTGCTAAAAGTGGTGTGCAGACAAGATATATATCCATTTGGCTAGTACTATCAAGACCCAGGGAGGTTTTAAAGAAATCAGATGTAGGGGAAAGTCCTCTGTTACTTTGATAAGCGTTCATCTAGACCACATGCACTGCATACAAGTAATTTGTAAGCAATTTGTTCGGTATGCACAGGTGTATAACTGCATAAAACCAAAAAACAGCTTCAGATACTTATATGCGCATATGATACGGTCCAGATAAATGCATATCAGGGTGTTGTTTAGTTTTTCATTTTTTTTTTTTTGGATATTATTAAATGGCCTTCTTTAAGGTCATCTACTTTTGTTCATATATGTATATATATATATTCATCTTGAAATGGCCTTTTCATTTTGAATGACAATAATCTTAAATGACAATCTTCATGGTTCTGTTCATATTTATCTTAAATGGCCTTTACCATGGTTTTGTTCATATTCATTTTAAGATCATTTCTTATGGTTGGGTAAGTTTGTAGTTTTCTCAGTGTTACTTATCTGCCAATGTTAATGCTACTGTGCTTCTAGTGAAGACATCAATCTATATGATCATCAGTGCATTCATGGCCGAAATAGGTAACGTTATATGCTCACTCTGCTGTGCCATGTGCCAACCGTTCTTCGTAAACCAACTGGCACGAACACAGTTGAGCAATTTGCATTCCAGGTTCAATCAACCATTCAGGACACTCATCGCCATGGAACACCTTCTCGCGCAATAACTTCCAACTTTCTTCGTCTGTCAAATAAGGCAAGGAGTGGAACGAATCCGTGTGGTTTCACATGCAAAGCAACTTCATTGAGGCGAGTTGTGAGCAGAATTCTACTTCCAATGTTCTCATGGGGAAAACTAATTTCAAATCATCCCAAGCCTTGATGATCCAGATATCATCAATCACAATCAAGTATCTCTTACCCATTAAGTGCTTGAGCAACTTCCCACGAAGCTGAGATTCATTGGCTTCTTCGAGGCCATTTTGAACACCATTAGATGTAAGAATTTGAATCAACAAACCCCGTTTTTCATATGTTTGAGAAACTGTGACCCATGCACGAACATGGAAATGATATGCAACAAAATGATCATTGAATACTCTGGTAGCGTGGGTAGTCTTACCGAGTCCTCCCATACCAACAATAGAGACGACACCCAGTTGCTTAGTATCTTCAGCAAGTTTGTCCCGTATGAGTTCAGCATCACAATCATACCCCACATCAATTTCTTCCAATGTATTATTGTAAAGGATTTCTGGTGGAGGTAGTTCGAGCAGCAGCGGCAGAGTGCGTTTTGATGTTGATGATCTTGAACTCCACCTTGATGGATCTCAGCATAAAATTCTTAAGATCCAGCAGCCTCAAGTTTCTATCTTGTGTATCTTCTGCTGCATCTTTGAATCTCGTCTTGAGATTTCTAACTTCTAAACGAGTTTTATTTTGTGTTCGAGATCGACTCGAGCTCGAAATTTACTAAGCATTTAAACCCCTACTATAGACTAGCATTTGAGCTTTAGTTTTTTGCAAGTACCTAAGTACTTTCTTACCTGCAGTCTAATGATGCTTAATTGGATTTTGTTGAAATCTATACAAAATTCCTACAGCATATGCCAAGTATGGTATGGTACGTACTTGTGCATACATTACATTTCCTATTAATTGTACATAAGACTTATAATCTATTTCATCAACTAAATCCTTCCCAGCATTTTTAGAAATTTTGGACAGTTTATCCCCTTTGACATTGGTGACTTATCTTCAGCACAAGTTTGCATGTTAAAGAGAAACATCAATTGATTGTTTGATAATCAAGTTGTTGTTGGTGCAAACCAACTCTACCAAAGGAGACTTGTGTCACCTTCGTAGTTTCTAAGATATACCGACTGTTTCACAAAACAAAATGATATGATAGCACCTTTCACGACCTTATAGTTTGTTACACTACAACGGAGGGATGAAGTGATGACCCGTGCCACTGGGTTATGATTTTGATGTTGATTGATATTGGAAAGGGTTTGAATGATGGAGGCAAGCTCTTGATAAAGCAGTTGGAATTGAGGCCTTTCAGATAAAATCTTTGGATTTTTGTTGATGAATGGAATGTATTGCAGTTGATGATCTGCTTCAAGTAGCCCATGAACATCTGAAGACCTGCGTGTGCCATCTTGTTGAGATCTTGAAGAACAATTATATGATAACGAAGTTGTTGTTGGATTAAGCCAAAGTAAGTTGAGTTGATTAATGGAGTTTTGGTGGACTTCATTCAAGTCCGGGGGTTGTTAATGTAAATAGTTGAAAGTAGAGGATGATATGTGTAATTATCTCTTTCTTTATGGCATGAAGATAAGGTTTCAGATTGTTGAATGGCTCTCATTAATATCCAAAACAATTGAGATCATCCTCGAGTTAATTTCATTATGCCGTGGCAGATTCCGGTCGAAATATACCTTAAGAAAAGCAAGCTCTCATACGATCTCGATTTTTATCCAAGTTCTATATATAGTCATCGTTTCTTATTATACTCGGGATTTCCTCCAACAAATTCCAGTGTCTTGAATCATATCGTGGTATCGGATTGGATTTTGGAAACTGAGATATTATGTGAGGGTCCATAATCCAATCCGATACCACAATAGGATCCAAGAAAATTCACATACGCGTGCGGTTAAGATTTTTCACAAACGTGCATGTGAATTCCAGGATGTCTTGTGTTCACTATTTTAAACGGGCGTGTGAGTTTGGGGGAAAATCGTAAAAAAAATGAAAAACTAAAGAACACATTAATTGACAATGATTAACTCTAATCCAACGGTTATTAAACATATAAATTTAAATAATGTTAAACGCGTGCAAAAATATCAACTATCTCTAAAAATATCTACAAAAAACATTCCAAAACCTTCAAAATGAAAAATTATTCCAACTGATTCTATGTCTTCCACTTTACAGTCTTTTTGGTAACTGCGGATTAAGTTTTGGGGTCAGCTTACGTGCACCGTATACTAATCCCCCAGGTGATCATGAATGGCCTGGGAGTCATCACTTGTCTTCCAATTTATGTTGCATGCACATGTAAATGAATCACTGTATTCATCGTCTTTCAATTTCTACGTTGCATAAACATGTGAATAAACAATTGTATTCATCATCTTTCGATTTATGGGTTGAATGCACACATATGAATGAATCACTATATTCATCGTCTTTCGAATCTGTGCTGCATACACTTATGAATGAGTTTATGTAATCACTTCCCTTCATTTTCTAGGTTGAGTGCACATGTAAATGAATCACCGAATTAGTCGTCTGTAAGTTTTTCCACTGCATGCACATGTGCATGAATCACCACATTCAACGTCGTTCAACTTTTCTGGGTTGAATACACATGTGAATGAGACACTATATTCAATGTACTTCAGTTTTTAGGTTGCATTAACATGTAAACTGTGTATTTCATCATATTCACATGTGCATAAAACCTAGAAAACAAGAGTAGAAGAGATGAATGTTTGAATCTTGTTACCTATTCATGATTGCATAATTTTCAAGGACCACTAAGGTTTCTGACCACCATTAATGAAGAAACTATATGTTGTTGAAGATCTGATAATGGTGGAGAGTTATAGAGGAGAAGGGGAAGAAACGACAACCATTTAGATACTCCTCATGCAATACCGCCATTGAAGATCTAGTAAGAATGGAGAATTGTAGAAGGGAAGAATAAGAAACAACATCCATGAAAAAAAGGCGGCCATGGAACCATGGCCTGGGGAAGAAAATAGAGAAAGGGGGGGGGGGGGGGGGGGAGGGGGTTTCCATCAAACCAAACCCCGGTAAATCCCCGGTCAAACCCCATGAAGAATATTCCTTAGTTTTAGTTAAAACGATGTCATCTACATACAGAATGAGAAAATTGAAGTTTGTTCCCAACTGTTTTGATGCACACACGAACATCCATAATGTTTCCTGCAAAGCAAAAACTTGATATAATTGAATTGAATTTTTTATACCACTATTTTGAAGCCTTCTTAAGCCCATACATGGATTTCTAAAGTTTGCATACATGATCTTCCTTTCCTGATCCCACAAACTGCTTCATGTATATGACTTCTTCTAGCTCTCCATTTAGAAAATCCGTTTTAACATCCATTTGACGTAACTCCATATTATAATTAGCTACTAGAGCCATTATGATTTTGAATGAGTCCACAGTGGACACTTGAGAGAATGTTTGTGTATAGTCAATACCTTCTTTTTGGGAGTATAGAATCTATACCCTTTTGATGTTTCACAATAGCCTATAAAATTGTAACTAGTTATTTTTTTTTACTGAAGCTTATTGTTAACGTTTGGTATTTTTGCCTCACCTGTACATCCTGAGGTGATGTAAACTTGGCTGTTTTCAATACCATAACTCAAATGGTGTTTTTTTTCTACTAACTTAGAGGAGACCTGTTACAAATGTAATTTGCAGTCTTAAGTGCCTCATCCCATAAGAAAATAAGTAAGCCTATAGTGCACATCATGCTCCTCACCATGTTCAACAAAGTTCTGTTCTTTCTTCAGCCACTCCATTTTGGGAAGGGTTGTATGGTGTATTATTGTATTGTGTCTTAATACCATTTTTCTGAGGATAAGATGCAAAAGCACCTTTAGCTTTGCCTGTATTTCTGTATACTTTCCATAAAACTCCTCTCCCCTATCAGATCTCACAAACCATAGATGAGGTGCTTCAAGTTGTCCATGAACATCTGGAGACCTGTGTATGCCATCTTGTTTAGAACTTGAAGAACAATTGATTGTTTGATAATGAAGTTGTTGCAGGGATGATCCACTGAAGTATTGGTTGACTTTGATTCAACCTGTGGGTCTTTTAGGGATATTTTGTGTCAATTCTGTATTTTAGCGCTGGGTATTTATTTTGGTTTTCTTTCTCTTTGTTTTGTAATCTTACATACAGATCCATGTTGAATTGGTAGCCACCAACCTTTGGCACCTATCGTTTCCTGCAATCCAATAGATAAGCAATCGATTCTTCAATTCATCAATCTAACACTTTATATTTAGGCCTTTTTCTAAAAAACAATTATCTGCAGGCCTTTCTCAATCTGACTGTTCAAGATTCACTAGAGACTGTACAAGACTGTCCTTAATGATCCAAGGGTTTCTAGGGTCATTTCTTTATAACCACACACAAGGGTATTATTGTGTCCCTTCTGCTGTCATATGTTTTTGATTCATTTCGTCCTTGGGGTGGGTCTTTCTTTAGGATGGGCTCCTTTATTTTTTAGATCATAACTTTTTTAAGCTTAAGTAGGTCGGATCTTTGTCGGTGAAAAGGGGTTGGATCATGGAACCATTCTCTTCGTAGAGCAGTTGGAATTGAGGTCTTTCATTTAAGATTGTTGGTTTGTTGTTGACAGTGGATAATCTTTGCGTACGCCATCTTGTTTCTTTCTCTCTTTCTATCTTTCAAGAAGAGCAGTGTGTTTTGATGAAAGTGCCTGGTTGGGCAAGCACAGTTGAATGAGTTTTGGTTGACTTCAATCAAGTTGTATGTGTGTGACTTCAATATTAGAGTCCGACCACAACGACCAAATTGGTTATCTTAAAGCCATCCCAAAAGAAAGCTACCCTCATATAGGGAAGCTCTTCGATGGATATATAGAAAAGAGCTACTCTATCAAACTTTTGGGTACAAAACATATTTCCTTCTTTAATTAAAGGTCATTTTCGTTGTAGAATTCTACGAAGCTCGAATGAATCCTCCTATTGTCGTCATCTTTCCATTGCCCAGATAAATAAAAGGATAAATCCATTCCGTCAACAGTGATCTGCAGCTGAGTGTTGCCCTCGGCATCTTGTTCTTCTTGAATTCTTTTGATAGATTCCACAATAGAGTAGTTCCGGCTGCCAGTTTCAATAAGCTCAAGGGTTGCGATTTCCCCTATTTCAAGTGGGATCCCTTCAAGATCGCCGCAGGACCACACTGCCAATCGTTTGAGACATGGGAAGCTTGTACTATAGGCTTCCCACTGTTTGATATCTAATCTCTCAAGTGTCAAAAATTTCAGTTGTCGAAACTGCTGCTCACCTGCATGCCAATGTGTTCCCACAAAGGACTTGTATTTTAGTTTGAGAACCTCCAGGCTAGGTAACGGTTGAATGGTTGACATATCACTCCATGGTAGAAAACAACGTACAAGTGTAAGTTTCTTCAAAGTTGCAGGGAACCAAACGCGAATCTGAAGAAAAATCGGCTCAGCTTCAATATTGTTCCTATTATGGTACTTAACCGTTAACTTCAAGGCTTCAAGGTAAGGGAGTGATTCAAAGCGACGTTCCTCACCCGAGAAAAGAGTATATTCAAGCTTCTTGATGCTGGGAAAATATTTCCCAAAATTATCAACCCCATCTCCCAACACCACATTCGAAATGGATTGCAAATTCATTGGTTTTTCAATAGCAGGAAGAAAAAGCTCCTGGTTACTCCACAAATGCCTCAAGTTTATCAAATCTGATATGTTACTGGGTAAAGTCGTACGACCATAACTGGTTTTAAGAATGAGGGTTTGAAGGCTCAATAAATTGCATACCGAGGATGGGAAACTTGAATGCCAAAAAGCAAGGTACCTTAAATGAATGAGTAATGCCATTCCTTGTGGATAACAACGCAGTTTACACTTTTGTAGATCTAACACCCTAAGAAGCGCAAAGGAATAGATATACTCTCCTATCTCAAAGCGTGTGTAGGACTTACGAAAGCACAAAAGTGATCGCATGCTTGGGGTACAAAAGGGCGGATGAGCAAAGTCCACATTGTCGATATTTTGATTTGTGAACACGCGACATTGCCTATATGGGGTCATAACCTCGAGAAGTTGAGAAGACAATGGCAGCCGGTCTAGTTTAAGGAAAAATCTTTCTTGTTTTGCTTTTTCCACACATAGTTCCCTCACAAGATCATGGAGTTTACAAGCTTCGAGATCACCATCGTATTTCCTTTCTGCAACAATTACAAGATTTCTATCGACTAGATCCATAAGGTAAGCCTTTGCAGTATCCTCCAAGCTTTGGTTTCCAGCTCCTTCGATAAATCCCTCAGCCACCCATAACCATATCAGCCTTTCTACAACGAACCCAAAGTCTTCTGGAAAGCCTCCTAGATAAAGAAAGCACTCTCTCAAGTGATCAGGCAAATGGTGGTAACTTAAAGCTAGTGTTTCCAAGTGTTCTTTCTGGTCGCCAACGATGTATGAACCGACACACGAAGCAATTTTTTCCCAGAAATCCTTGCTTATTGCTTCTTTTGCTAGAACTCCTGCCATGACAACCACTGAAAGAGGTAGTCCATGACATTTTTTTGCAATTTGCATTCCAGGTGTAATCAACCATTCGGGACACTCATCACCATGGAACACCTTCTTGCACAATAACCCCCAGCTTTCTTCTTCTGTCAAATAAGGCAATGAGTAGACGAACCCGTGTGGTTTCGCATGCAAAGCAACTTCATTGACGCGACTTGTGAGCAAAATTCTACTTCCCGTGTTGTCATGGGGAAAAAACGATTTCAAATCATCCCAAGCCTCGGTGCTCCAGATATCATCGATGACAATCAAATATCTCTTACCCATTAGGTGCTTGTGTAACATTTCACGAAGTTTAGAGTTGCTCGCTTCTTCAAGGTCTTGTGGAACACCCATGGATGCCAAAATTTGAATCAAGAAATCCCGTTTTATATATGTTTGAGACACTGTGGCCCATGCACGAACGTGGAAATGATACACAATAAAACGATCATTGAATACTTTGGTAGCGAGGGTAGTCTTACCGAGACCACCCATACCAACAATAGAGACGACACCCAGTTGCTTTGTATCTTCAGAAAGTTTGTCCCGTATGAGCTCAACATCACGATCAAGCCCGACTACAATTTCTTCCAGTGGTTTCTTTGCTCCTAAAGGATTTCTGGTGCCAGATGTTCCAGAAGCAGACTGGGCGTTGAGGCGGTCGATTCTTGGACTTGGAGACGAATCCATCTTCATGTCATCAATGTTGATAGTCATGAGTTCCATCTTTATAGACTCGATTGATCTCATAACATTCTCAAGATTGACAGAGGTATTAAAGACATCAGATGTAGGGGGAAATCCTATGTTTCTGAAGTGAAGAGCAGATAGAAATATATCAATGATATCTTGTGCTTCTTCTGCTGCATCTTTGAACCTTTTCATGAGATCTTTGACATTTTGGAGTTCATGTAGGTGATGATATTCATGGATATTGAAAAGGGTCTGGATGATGGAGCCAAGCTCTTCATGAAGCAGTTGGAATTGAGGCCTTTGAGATAAAATTGATGGATTTCTGTGGATGAGTGGATCATTGTTGCCATAGATGAGGTGCTTCAAGTTGTCCATGAGCATTTGCAGAGCTGTGTATGTCATCTTGTGTTCTTCCTCTCTTGAAGAACCCTGGTATCTATGGAGTTGTTGTTGGGTTGAGCCAAAGAGAGCTGCGTTGACTCGAAGTGGTGTGGGTTGTGGGATGAAGATAATGTTTGGGATTTTTTAATGGCTCTCGTTGCACCTCCCACTTTTCTTGCAAAATGTTTTAGATTGGCAAAGTAAATATCTTGTTTACTATTTCTATTTTTGTTTTAAAGTTATTATATATTTTAAAAATAAATAAACCGATTATATATTATATTGTTATATATATATATATATTCATATTAATTACATATTATTTCTCTTCCAATTTTAAGTTTGTTTATCAAAAAATTTATGCAAGTCGTGACCGAGATAAAAGGTTGTAGCGAAACAAGTGGTGACTGAAAATTATTGTTTACCGAGTATCTATATATATACTATATTATAAAACATTTGATAAAAACTCTTAAGAATCATTTTTTATGTATGAAGTACTGTTTATTGATGCATATTACTTAAAATTTAATATTATAAGTAAATTGTGCATAAGTACAACTTATTAAAGCTCTATATTTGAATTCGTGTAACTAACTGCAGATAAACATAATCAAATATATTGGATAAACATCTCATTTTAAATATATTGGATAATCATTGAGTTCTAACAGAATACTTAGTTATTATATTTATGAAAAAAATTATATTATTAAACAAAAATTATATTTAGTTTGTTACTAAACTTAAATTAAATTATAATTAAAAAATTAAATTAAGAAAATTACACCGAAACACAAGAACTTTTAAAAAGATTAATTTGATACTGATATCGATATTTTTTTTCAAAATTTTATGATATTTTCAAATTTATATTTTATTCAAAAATAAAAACATTATCGCTTTTTCAAAACCATATAAACCGTATTATATCGACATAAAAAAGAATAAAACGAAATACTGAAATCAAGATGTGTCTCGATGCATTGCACTAGTACCCTTCTTAAAACTCTATATCTGAATTCGTTGATTGTGCGTAAGTACAACTTCTTAAAGCTCTATATCTGAATTCGTCTAACTAACTGTAGATAAACATAATCAAATAGAAGATAAACATCTCATTTTAAATATAAAAAATCTAAAATATAATTAGGATACTTATTAAGTTCTAACAGAATACTTAATTATTATCTTTATAAAATGTTATATTATTAAACCAAAAATAAATTATTTCATCATTAGACTTAAATTAAATTATAATAAAAAACGAAAACTTTTAAATAGTTGATTTGATATTAATATTGATATATATATATATTTTCAAAATTTTATGATATTATCAAAAAAAAAAAATTTTCAAAAATAAAATCATTATTGCTTTCTTAAAAACACATAAAATCGTATTATAACATCGACAGAGACAAATGATAAAATAAAACATTAAAATTGAGATGTGTCTCACTACATTGTGCGAGTACTTTTCTAGTTATTTATTAAAACATATTACTTAAAATTCAAAATTACAAGTAAGTTGTACGTAAGTACAACTTATTATAGCTTCATGCTTGAATTCGTATAAGTAACTGCAGATAAACATAATCAAATACAGGATAAATATCTCATTTTAAATATAAAAAATCTTAAATATAATTAGGATAATCATTTAGTTCTAACAGAATACTTGATGATTATTTTTATAAAAAATTATATTATTAAACATAAATTAAATTACTTCGTTAAATTAAATTATAATAAAAATTTTGAATTAAAGAAATTACACAAAACAAGAACTTTTAAATAGTTAATTTGATATTAATATTGATATATTTTTTGTCAAAATTTTATGATATTTTCAAATTTATATCTTATTAAAAAATAAAAACATTATCGTCTCAAAAGTCAAAACCATATAAAACGTTATTATATCGACATAGATAAAGAATAAAACGAAACATTGAAAGCGAGATGTGTATTGATGCATTGCACGAGTACCCTTATAGTATTGTTATATATATATATATATATATATATATATATAGTTCGTTTCAAATACAACTCATCGCACTTGTACAACCAATGCAACCCAATAAATTGAAATATTTATGGAAATGATGAGAGTTCATTTATTATGATTTGAATATTTATGGAAGATAAGTATGGTTCATTAATTATGATCAATACTTTATATTAAGAAACAATCAAAACTTCTATAAAATCACATATTAATCAAATGAAATGGACGGTTGAGATTGAATTGTATTGGTTGCACAAATGTCAAGGGTTGTATAATAACCAACCCCCCCCCTCTCTCTCTCTCTCTTTATATATATATATATATGTATGTATATATATATATATAT